TGAAAGCATATTGCTGATTATTGCCATATAATTCACTTAAATGAATGGTGTTTGTGGTCACAGTTTCATTCGCGGATCCTCAGATACGACTGACTGAGCAATATTGACTAGCCTACAACTTGGATAAGATTCCTAAATGTTTCGCACCTACAGCACACATTACAGACATTGATGCACAAACGCGGATATGTTCCACATGTCTACAGTATAAAGAATGAATAAACCTGTCTTATAAACTCCTTGATTTTGCTTAAGCAACTTTAAATATAATATGCATGCACAATAAACTATTGTAAAATTTATTTATATCACTCGACAGAAAGGTTTTTGCAGGTTTTAATAAAATGTAAAATAATAACAGTCATAATAAACAAGCATATTTCCAGTACGCGCCTCAGGCTTGCACAGTATCGTCAACTCACTCATCAGAATCTTCGGTAATCCTCGGCAAACTTCGCCACGGCTCATTCGGTTCTTGTTGAGTCCTCGGTAATCCTCTGCAAACTTCGACAGTTGGTTGAACCGGCTCATTCGGTTCTTTTTGAGTTGGACATGCTACTTCGGCTGTGCGTCCTGCGCCATCAACCCGGAACTAAAGTTCGATTCAGTTCGATTTGTGAATCGGCTCAACCGGTTACTTCCTGAGAACCGGCTCAAAAGAATGATTAGTTCAAGAACCTAACATCACTACTTAGTCTAGTCTAGTCTTGTCTTGTAATTGCCTGTTATCTGATTCTTGCCTGTGTATCTTGGATTTACCCTTTGCCTTTCTGTTTCGGACTGTGTTTGCACCTCGCCTGGACTATTGCTCGTGTTATTGGATTTCCCCTCTTGTCAAGCCCTCTGGATAACTTTCGCTGTCGACTAACTCATGCCCGTTTTGGATTACTCTTTTGTCTTGCCCTCAATATACCTTTTTGCCATTGTCAGAATAGACAACCTGTTTTATGACCACGCCTTTGAATAAAGCTTTGCAGATGGATCCACACGTCTCACTTCGCGTTCGCCCCGTAACAGGTATAACAACATAAACGTGTTTTATGAGGACATTTCCTGACTCAGTTTGTACAGTGTAAAACCATTATGCCTATGGAGAGTCCCCATAAAACATAAAAACCAACATGTGTTTTTATGTATTTGGTTATCAGTAAATAAAAACAAACAAACAAACAAAAACAATGCAATCGATTTTTAGCAAACACTTATTGTCACAATCCCTCCCTGTGTTTCCTGTCTGTGGTCATGGACTCTTCAGTGTTGCTTTGTTCACCTCATGTTTCACTGCTGCTCTGTTCCCTTGTTTGTTGCCATGGACACTCATTGGACCACACCCATCTCCTTGTTAGTTTCCTTGGTTACTCATTTTTCAATTTGTTCAGCTCAGCTTATCCTTGTGGTTCTCTTGTGCTTTGTGAATTTTCTGAATAGACTAGAAAACTTTGTTGGCATTAGTGCAAGTGCATTAACATGATTCAAATCGTACTTATCTGACCGCCATCAATTCGTAGCAGTGAATGAAGAGGTATCATATCAATCACAAATGCAGTATGGAGAACCTCAAGGCTCAGTACTAGGGCCGTTACTTTTCACACTTTACATGTTACCCTTGGGAGATATCATCAGGAAACATGGTGTTAGCTTTCACTGTTATGCTGATGATACTCAACTCTATATTTCTTTGCAGCCCAGCAAAACATACCAATTTGAAAAACTAACAGAATGCATAGTCAATATAAAAAACTGGATGACGAGTAATTTCTTACTGCTAAATTCTGAAAAAACAGAGGTGTTAATTATCAGACCTAAAACCTCTACATGTAATTACCTAGAACACTGTCTAACACTTGATAGCTGCTCTGTCAGTTAGGAACCTAGGGGTGCTATTTGATAGCAATCTTTCCTTTGAAAGCCACGTTTCTAGCATTTGTAAAACTGCATATTTCCATCTCAAAAATATATCTAAATTATGACCTATGCTCTCAATATCAAATGCAGAAACATTCATTCTTGCGTTCATGATCTCAAGGTTAGATTATTGTAATGCTTTATTGGGTGGTTGTTCTGCATGCTTAATAAACAAACTCCAGCTGGTCCAAAATGCAGCAGCTAGAGTTCTTGCTAGAACCAGGAAGTATGACCATATTAGCCCAGTTCTGTCAACACTGCACTGGCTCCCTATTAAACATCATAGATTTTAAAATCTAATGCTAATTACTTATAAACCTGAATGGTTTAGAACCAAAGTACTTGAGCAAGCTCTTATCGCATTATAGTCCTCCACGTCCGCTGCGTTCTCAAAACTCTGTGGCAATTTGATAATACCTAGAATATCAAAATCAACTGCAGGCGGCAGATCCTTTTCCTATTATGCTGTTAAGCCTATGTTGTTGTTGGTACAGGCGGTCAGCATCTCCAGCTCCAGATCCTCTGTGCTCTCAAGCCCAGTGGCCCCTGTGCACCCTGTCCAAGAGATCATTCCTTTGTTCATGGCACTTCCATCAATGGCGGTTGCCATTTTGTTCGTGTGGGCTGCACACACATCTCCTGATCCACCACGTCAATGAAATCTTTGCCTGTCCTTTTACTGCTTCAGTGGCCATTTCTAAACTTTCTGTGCTGTCTGTTTCAGTTCTGCCTGATCCACCATGGTGGTCTTCTGCTCTGTCTGTGCCACCGTGGTGGTCTCCAGCTCCAACTGCGCTGCTGTGGTGGTGGTCTGCTCCACCTACCTTACCCTGGCCGCCTGCTCTGCTTCCTCCGTTCTGGTCTCCAGCTCCACCCTGGCCACCAATACTGCCGGCTCTGCCATGGCCACCTGCAATGCTGGCTATGCCCTGGTCTCCAGCTGCACCCTGGCTGCCTGGTCCGCTGGCTCTTCCCTGGTCACCTGCTCTGCCCTGGTCTCTCGCTCTGCCTGTGCCACTCTGGTCACTTGCTCCACCACAGTCTTCAGGCCCTCTTCCACCACATGGGCCTGAGCCTCCATTCTCCCCGTTTCACCTCCGCTCCACCACCCTCCAGCACTGCGACCTTGTTAGGAGGACCTTAGGAGGGGGCTATATCATGATCCCTGCCCGTGTTGCCTGTGTCACTGGTCATGGACTATTGTTGTGTAGTTCTGTCTTCATTGTTGCTTTGTTCACCTCATGTTTCCCTGCTGCTCCGTTTCCTTGTTTGTTGACATGGACACTCTTTGGACCACACCCATCTCCTTGTTAGTTTCCTTAGTTACTCATTAGTTCATTGGTTCAACTCAGCTTATATAGCCCTTGTGTTTCTCTCATGCTCTGTCAGTTGTTTGATGTTATGGTTGATGTTATGTTCTTGTTCCTCGTGCCCCCAGTGTCTGTGTTTGCAGTTGTTCCTATCAATAAATTCCTGCACTAAGATGCTTGTCCCTGCCTGCATCATTAAACTTATATCAGCTCACCACCAGCACTCAGTTCTAAAAATATACTAACTTGTTCATTAATGCCTTCATTGTTCAATTATAGTATGCTGGTTATTTACACTCTCGTGACTGCGGGTCATTTACGGTGTGTGATAATCTTACTTTTACCCTTTCACTTTATAAACTTCTCTAAGACTAAGCAGTGGGCCATTAAGGTTGACCATCATTAAATTTGCAACATTTATGCATACCTCCTGTCAGATATTGATATTCATAGGACTAAAAGCCCACCTACATTCTACTGTCTGAGAGGAAAGGTCTGTATAGAGTTCCTGAGGGGTTTCAAATCTTGGCACTCAGTATGATTCAATTAAGCCTTGCATTCCCCTAATGCCCTGGGCAGAGCATAAACTAAAACGTGTAAAGAGTCTACAAATCTCTGCTTCACTATAAAGTATAAGCTACTAAGCTACTAAGCTCCAATGGATACCTGCTTCTGTAAAGAAAACTTAGATCTTTGAGAATTTCCTTCTCAAAAGGAAGGTACGTCTGTAGACTTAAAATTAGGCTTTGCAAAAAATCTTCAGTGTTGATGGAATCAGAGTTTAACAGTGGCTTTAACAATGAGTGTCTAGTCCACTCACTACACTGCCTTCCCTCAATCGATGACGGTGGTCAGGGGTAGGGAAAGGTACAATTCTGACAATGTGCTAATTACAACAAAGAATCAAATTAGAATAAAGTTAAACAACAAGCTAACATTAGGAAAGTAGGTTATGGACTTCCGAAGCAGCAAAACAAGTGTACGAGGGTATAGGAAAAGACTGGTTAAGTCATTATATGCAAACAGCCCAGGGAAAAAGTAAGCATGCAGCATATGCCATATGGCCCCGAATACACCTCTGATGGAGTCAGATTTCAGTGAGCTAACTGCATAGGCTATTTGACCATTTGAGTCTGTTTGGTTGGATCATACACCCACTGATATGAAAGATAAATGTGAATCAGGCAATTTGTTGAATTAGAACGGAATATTTTCTGACTGTGATTATAGTAATGCAAAAATATTAATCTGAAAAATCAGTTTATAAACAATTATCCTAATTAATTAATGGAGGAGAATACTAGATTTTTCAGTATAACAATTATTTGACACATTAATTGTTTTTGCATCTGACAGGGCTGACCCATTGTGAGTGAAAGGCAAGGATAAACAAACATTTCTTAGAAAATGAAAGAAGCAAGATTTCACCCAGACATAGGTGAATATCTCTGAACAAGTTAAACAGATTGATAAAAATAAATAAAAATAAAATCCCTAACATATTTTTTTTTCTGCCCATAAACTTGAGTGAAAAAGATTCACAGGATATTCAAATAGCCTACGTTAGTTCAAGAATGGACGTTCCTGTGAACTGCGGTGTTTGACTGCTAGGGTGTGTACTTTCCGCGCCAGACTGGACAACTGCGCATCGTTTCACATCGAAGCAGCACGAGCGGAGGGAATGAGCTAGTGGAGTCTGAGGAGCAATTTATTGCGAAGCGAAGCGAAAAGATAAATTGATATTAGAGAAATAAAATATTTACAAACCCAGTGAACATATATTAGGCTACTATAGATCAATGGGTTGATACTTTATGACATCTTACACAGGCGTCGTAAACAAACGTGAGAAGAAAACAAGTGGAGAACAAACAGTGACATCTGTGTGGTAGGTTTCCTGTTTAATTGTAGAATCATAAGATGATATAGGGGAGAACAAATTAAAAGCGTAGATGCAACATTTTGCTTTAAACATCATGTGATTTCTATCAAAACGCAACAATAGCCTAATATATAAACATATTTTTCAGGAAGCAGGCTACATTTAGAAAGAGGTTAAAGAGAAGCGCATATCCAGCATAATGATAAAGGAACAAAATGTATTGATTAAATGGAATCTTCACGATTTATTGTGTTTAAGAGCATAGCGATATGCAATTTCTTAAGAACAGCAGTGGCCATACGCTTTCAATTTAATACAGTGCTTGCAAATGTCTAGGCCAAATCCTGCTTATTTATTATTATTATTATTATTTTTGATTTAATTTATTTTTTGTTACTTTTGAATGTAGGCTAGGCTGTGTTTGTGTGTGTGACCTGTTAAGTCCTGTAGGCTATTTGAACTAGGCTATATAGGCTACTTGCATTGCATGGTTTTGAGGTCTCCGAGTTTAAAAAGAGAAAGCTGTCCTTTGGTATTGATTTATCATTTGACCACTGCCAAGTTGCGCTGTACGGTATAATGTACACAAACGGAAAGCTTAGCCTACCTATTGCCTGGCTACACATTAATAAAGTAAACTATTAAAATAATGGCAGCAACCTCTGTGTAATATATAAAACTTTACTACAGGATGCCTTTTATATACACAATTTATATTTTACTTATTCTCTAGATTATATTATTATTTCTGGTGTATACTTTCTACAAGAAAGTTGATTATGCACTAGCCTACTGATTCCAGATGCCCACTGCATGACATTAAGACACGATTTTCTTGTTTTAATTAGAGTTAGCCTATTTCTAGTAGGCCTAATCATGGCTTCTATGGCGCTTGAGATGCGATAGGCTATTGATGTCCGTGAAAACAGATGAGTCTATTTTCGATAAAGAATCGGTTCACAAATCATAGCCTACTAATTCAGTGATTTCGGTGATATCAGATTGCAACTGTTCTGATCGAATCACTAAACCACAATAAATTGAGTGCGTCAGTGATTAGGCTACTACATATTAATTGTGTCATGTGATATGGGCAAATATCGATATTCGACTGTACGATCAGCAATGCGCGACACAAACTTGCATAGGCTAAGTTTTGCAGGGACCCTCAGTATAGGTTTACTGGTTTTTATACAGAGCTAATTCATTTTTCTATCCTTTAACCCTAACCCAACCACTAAACATAACCTCACAGAAAACTTTTGGCATTTTTAACTTTTTACTTTTGTGAGTTAACAGCTTATTTCTTAATTAACTGACAGCTTGTTCACTAATCTTCAGTGTTTGCCATTCAATTTTTGTCAATTTATTTTGAAGTGAGCTATATTTGGAGTTTACAATGGAAAAGAAATCAAGGACAGGAAGTATTCAGTTTACACTTAGTATGCATTTGGCAGACACTATTCAAGACACTGCATTCAAGGAACACATCACCCTTACCAAAAAGAAGTATATTTCAAGTTTATTTTATTAAGTATACTTAAGTAAAGTTTAAGTATATTTTTAAGTATACTTTATGTAGTAAGTATACAAATATCAGTGTACTAGTAGTATACTGGTAAGTGTACTATTTCAATACTCCTTGGGACTAAAGTGGCCCACTTTCTAGTATATAAAAGTATACTTTTAAGTATACCTTAAGTATAACAGCAGTAAACTTTGAGTACACTAGTGTACTCAACTGAGTACACTAAACTAGTTTACCTCTGTTTTTTGTTTGTACTGCAACTACAGGTGCATCTCAATAAATTAGAATGTCGTGGAAAAGTTCATTTATTTCAGTAATTCAGACTGTGGAAACTTCACACTGGACTTCAAGCAACATGGTTTCTGTGCCTCTCCACTCTTCCTCCAGACCTTGATTTACAAATGAAATGCAAAATTTACTTTCATCTGAAAAGAGGACTTTGGTCCACTGTGTTTTCTGAAGTCCACAGTCAACGCAGCCATCTACCAGGAAATTTTAGAATGCTTCATGCTTCCTTCTGCTGACAAGCTTCATTTTCCAGCAGGACTTGGCACCTGCCCACACTGCCAAAAGCACCAAAAGCTGGTTCAATGACCATGGTGTTATAATTCATGCAAAAGGAGGCCCAACCAAGTATTGAGTACATGTACAGTAAATGAACATACTTTCCAGAAAGCCAACAATTCACTAAAAATGTTTTTTTTATTGGTCTTATGAAGTATTCTAATTTGTTGAGATTGATGGGTTTTTGTGAAATGTGAGCCAAAATCATCCCAATTAAAAGAACCAAAGACTTAAACTACTTCAGTCTGTGTGCATAGAATTTATTTAATACACGAGTTTCACAATTTGAGTTGAATTACTGAAATAAATAAACTTTTCCACGACATTCTAATTTATTGAGATGCACCTGTATACTAAAAGTGAACTTATAGATATACTGATAGTTTATTAAATACTTGTAGCATTTTTAGTACACTTTGAAGTATAGTCTCAGTAAACTACTAGTTTAGTAGTTTTATATTGCAAGTATACTCGTAAGTGTTCTTTAAGTTAACTTTACATCATACTTTAAGTATACTACTATGTCCTTATTTATTAATTTGTATATATTTTGTATATTTTATATGAATATCTGAACATACAAAACATCAAAAGAAAGAACAGGGTATCTGCTTGTAAACAATTTTTTTTAAATTCTAGCTTCATGCATTCTTTTTTTATGAACACTTGAATGTGGGTAAGTTTCATAAGTACAAAATAAATAAATAAATAAACAACATTTTAAACAAAAAGCTGAAAAAAAAACTATGAATTGATTCAGAATGATAATCAAAACGTAGGTGGAGAATCAACACCCCAAAGATTGACAATCAATATTACCTCTTCATGGGTCAACATTTTATTCAATAACGTTACACAGTTTTGATGCTGTTTTATATCTGATTATTAGTACCGCCACTCCCTAAACGCAGAGTACGCAGTTTGCGTAGGGCACCAACTCCATAGAGAATCTATGGGGTATTGTCAAGAGGAAGATGAGAGACACCAGACCCAACAATGCAGATGACCTGAAGGCCGCTATCAAAGCAACCTGGGCTTCCATACCATCTCAGCAGTGCCACAGGCTGATTGTCTCCATGCCACGCTGCACTGATGCAGTAATTCATGCAAAAGGAGGCCCAACCAAGTATTGAGTACATGTACAGTAAATGAACATACTTTCCAGAAAGCCAACAATTCACTAAAAATGTTTTTTTTATTGGTCTTATGAAGTATTCTAATTTGTTGAGATTGATGGGTTTTTGTGAAATGTGAGCCAAAATCATCCCAATTAAAAGAACCAAAGACTTAAACTACTTCAGTCTGTGTGCATAGAATTTATTTAATACACGAGTTTCACAATTTGAGTTGAATTACTGAAATAAATAAACTTTTCCACGACATTCTAATTTATTGAGATGCACCTGTATACTAAAAGTGAACTTATAGATATACTGATAGTTTATTAAATACTTGTAGCATTTTTAGTACACTTTGAAGTATAGTCTCAGTAAACTACTAGTTTAGTAGTTTTATATTGCAAGTATACTCGTAAGTGTTCTTTAAGTTAACTTTACATCATACTTTAAGTATACTACTATGTCCTTATTTATTAATTTGTATATATTTTGTATATTTTATATGAATATCTGAACATACAAAACATCAAAAGAAAGAACAGGGTATCTGCTTGTAAACAATTTTTTTTAAATTCTAGCTTCATGCATTCTTTTTTTATGAACACTTGAATGTGGGTAAGTTTCATAAGTACAAAATAAATAAATAAATAAACAACATTTTAAACAAAAAGCTGAAAAAAAAACTATGAATTGATTCAGAATGATAATCAAAACGTAGGTGGAGAATCAACACCCCAAAGATTGACAATCAATATTACCTCTTCATGGGTCAACATTTTATTCAATAACGTTACACAGTTTTGATGCTGTTTTATATCTGATTATTAGTACCGCCACTCCCTAAACGCAGAGTACGCAGTTTGCGTAGGGCACCAACTCCCAGGGGGGCACCATCCCAGTTGCTAAAAAAATATATATATTTTTGTTCTATGTTAATATTAACATAATACATAAATAAAAATCTAAACACGAATGTATATATTATATATACATAATTATAAAAAATGCATTTTATGATGAACGCAGTAGGCAGTATAAGTACACTTGACGCGCCATTCCCTCATCTGTGCCAGCGCTCGCTCTCACTTCTTGTTTGCAGCTGAATACAAATGATCATCATATTTAATGGACAACTAGACTATATCAGGGAAAAGACATCAGCACAGTCCGGCGCAGAGAAAAGAAAAAAGTCAGAGATGAAGCCCATGCATCACTTTCAAGTGACTAACGTTACTTTCATAATCCTGTGAAACTTTTTTGACTGTTGACGTTAGTAACGTGTTTTAATGTCGGTAATAATTTCACCACCAACAACGCATCTGACTTAATATTCTAGTTTCCATGACTTAAAATGTATTAAATAAAAACTACGAGGCAATATATGGTAGGCCTATATGGTTTAAAATAAATATGGTTTCATTGAATAACACTGTTAAAATACATAATGTAATACAAAATAAACAATTTACATTATAATAAATGCCTGCAAAGGACACCAACAAAGTGTCAAAGTTCTTACCAAAATTAACCATGGTTTTATCGTTAATAAATTTTGTGTGATTTCTGAATGCTTGAGACCATAAAATCAATCAGATAACTGTATTAATAAAATCATAGCCATAGGTAACTGTCTAGAGCTACAATTGTAATTAATAAATAATACAATTGAATTACAATTATTTATTTACTTTTATATTTGCTTAAAGTTCTATTTTGAACCCTTATAGTAGTTTTTTTTTTTTTTGAGGTAGGGGGCACAACAATACTATTCTGCTTAGGGCACCCATTTGGCGAGCAGCGGCCCTGCTGATGATCATGTTAGATTACATGTGGAAGCATCTGTTGTTTCGGTTTCTTCTTCACTTGTATTTTGGAAATTCTGTACAGAAGATGTGTAATAGGGTCCCCCACCATATAACAATGAAAACATTCTCGGAGCAAGTATAGCTAAAATAAATTTAGACTTTTTCTAAGTACAAGTAAAGCATACTTAAATGTCATTTTAAGAATATTAAAGTAAGAAGTACATAAAGCACATTTGTGAGAAGTACATACAGTATAAAGTAGACTGAAAGTATACTTTCCTATTTTATATTTTAAAAGAAGTATACTAAAAGCACACTTGAATAAACTTATTTTTCGAAAGGGCAGTTCTTTATCAGTTCTTGCTTTTCTTGGTGATCAAACCCATGACCTTGGCACTACACTATGCTGTGCTGATTGAGCTACAGGAAGGTATTTATGACACTAACCATTTATTTTTATGGTATCCGCAAATAGTTATTGACAGTCCTAAAACCAAGAAAGTGATTTTATGATACAATGTGATTGGTTTACAAGGGACACGTGATCCAAGATGATGATTACACTTTCTCCAACTATAGAGCTGTGGAAGTCAGCATCTCCTTATATATATAGAGGTCACTTACTTGCCCTGAGCTTAATGATATATTTTAAAAAATAAAATAGCTCACTAGTTTCCGATTATATGTTTACGATGTGCTGTTGTTGCCAATAGATATCTGTATGATGATATTGCATTAGCAGCTGTTCCTTTGGGCCACTATGCATAAGCCGTCTGAATGCTCATTCGAGAGCAACTTGTATGAATAACTCTATCTGCTAGCATTCAGCAGCTGATTTTCACAGGATTTAGTTTATCATTAATGTAACATAATTCTACATATGGTAAATAGAATGGCAAAAAAATACTGGTTAAAACTCCTATAAATATAAAACAGTTGATAATCAGAGAACCATATACATATGTATGGTTCTTACAAGCATAGTGTGAATGTTATGGCATGAAAATTGATTGGTTTGTTAGTACGAGTGATGAATAGAATTAGAATGTTGACTGTTCCAAGATGGTGGACATGTTGACATGTCTGGTACAGTCAAATGAGGTATCTATGTGTAGATCCATGTTGCTGCCTAGTTCCCGAAAGTCCACTTAAAATTTGTGTTCAGAAGAAGATTTGTTTTCATAGAAATGCGAGGAAATATTCTGAAATATTCAACCGACAGCCCTAAAATGTGCTAGATAAATGCAAATTTCTCATGAATAAATCTTTGCATAACGCATGAACTAAAATAAGTATGTGTAATCAGTTGTGCAAGTAGTTCATAAATCTGCTTCCAAGATGACTGGAACATACTGTACCTGTTGCTGTGACAGCAACAGACAAAGCATTATGAAATCATTTACTTACGATTTGTGATGCAGCTGCAGTCATATCTAGTACCGCGTCATCTTTCAACAAATGTTCCTTTGTGAACTCTCCATGACACTGTGCTTCATTTACAAAACAAAATGCTCTGAACAATCCTCTGGCACGATCCGGGATGCCATTAAAAATAAACTATCCACTTGTTTCTTACGCTGGTATACTTCTGATATCTGTACAAAGTCGTGAACAAGTTGTTTAAACCAAATATGTCAAAGCGAACATTCTTTCACCCCATTTGTCCAATTGATGCCAGACTCAATCGCGTGGACTGTCAAAAAATCTAACGCCCATCTGTGTACTGTATGCAGATGCTTTTGACGTGACGCTAAATGCGAGTGTCGTGTCACATAATCAAGTGTTAGCCGTTAAAGGGTTAGTTCACCTCAAAATGAAAATTCTTTGGTTTGGAACGACATGAGGTGAGTAATTAATGACAGAATTTTCCTTTTTGGGTGAACTATCGCTTTAAGCAACTGGATGCCAGTGGGTGGGGCCTATGTATATGTTTATGCAAATATGTCATCATGTCCTCTCATATCCGAATGAGCCGTTTTTGGAGCTTAATTAAATAAATGCTTTGTTTATATTGAGAACGTTTTAAGCTATGAAACTTGCAGGATGTTTTAATGGTTCAAAGACCTCTTATATGCCAAAAGATCAAGCCAAATTTGATTTCTCATGTCATGACCCCTTTAAGGCACATAGTGCCAAATCAATGGTGCGATACAGCTCATTAAAGCACTCCAACATTTTTCCATGTTTTTCAGAAGGTCTGCTTGATAAGTCTGCAAGACCGCCATTCATCTTGACTCACCATTGCTTAAGTCTTTCCAACCAACAAGCACATGAACCTGCACAACTTTGGTGGAAAACTAGGAGAGTATTCAGAGTATTCTCACTCTTGGAGAGTATTCATTCCCTCATCCTTGCAGCCAAAAGTGACAGGACAGGGGAAAATGAGAAATACAAGGCCTGAGCTGGCAGATTCCCCTTCCTCCATGTCCTTCACTTCCTTCGCTTGTGTGACCTCTTGGGCACCACAGAGGTTAGATATCGGAAGAGCTGGGGATTGATCTTTTTAAAGAACCCAACCTAAGAAGAAAGCATCTTGAACTTCATGACAGAGGCACAATAAACAGCTCTCATGCCCATATGAGAAACTTCTTTATTTCTCACATGGAGTTAAACACCTATGAATGCCATCTTGAAAAAGATGCGAGTGCAGAGATGAGAGTCTCTCTTATTGTCCAAATCAATCATAATATATCAAACACACAGCAAGAGGGCACCTCAGTGCACATAATACACTTGTTGCCACACAGCTGGGGGTGGAAAATAATCTGAAATAACTGAAATATGTCACTGAAATAAGTGCAGAAGTAGAAATAAGGCAGAGTAAAGACTAGATGTAATCGTGAGCCTGAAGACAGTAAAAATTGGACAAAATGACACGGAACCCCCTAGACTATATGTGCATGAGGACAATGAATGAAGTATAAACGCGTTTGAATCATGATTGAATGTGTGCTGATCTGCTTGTAACATTTTGAAGCCATATCATTGTAATTAATCTAATCATCATATCTAAATTCATAGGTCAACATCACTCAAATGTGACTGGAGAAGAAAAACACATTGAGGACAATTGGAGATGGGGGGTGGGGATAGGTTTGGGGCCCAATTCGAGGCTTGTCACAAATAATTTTTTCTTTTGTCCAAAAAATCCTCTATTGTGTGGTGGCATTTTGATTATTTAACTGCTCCCGATTGAGACGGAGCATCCCCGAACTCAAGTTGTAAATATCAAACATGTTTGATATTTACGACTCTTGATTGAGCTGCCTCTGACGTGATACCCGTGAGCAATCATCACCTACCGGATGTTGCGTGCTTAGCTGAAACTTGACAGCCACAAACATGCCATGAGTGTAGAGTACTGAGAAAGAACAAGACCCATATTTTTTTTTGTTTTTCACTGTACTGTACAACAGAACACGTGCCAGGTGAGCCATCTGATAAGATCGATAGTCCTTCGTGTGATTTGCTCCTCTAGTCACATTTGATCTCACAAGCTTGAGATCTCGTGTCACTGTGAAATTGTTCCTACAGTCAACAAGTGTTTGGTCTCGCGGTCTGGTCGAATCATCTAGTGTGTATGTTCAGAGGATTATAAGGCTAAGAATCAATTGAAACTGTCTTCATGTTTGTGGTCTCCCATGGTTTAAAATTTCACATGAAAGTTTGATTTGTATCAGCACCATTTGTTCCAGACTCAGTTTAAATATTTTGCAGGGAATAAAGAAATCAGATCAGTTGGATAGAAGTTACTTGATTACATGGTTACATCATAAGGATATGGAAGCTACATGATGGGAGCTGTGTGTTTTGGACATAGGTAACCATAGTTTTTCTGAGCAAATCAAGGATGGAGAATATTGCAAAAAAAAAAGATAATTATAAATAATGGTCCATTAATCATTAGTTTTACAAAAATATGTAAGAAGTACATGATTGTGCATCCACCACTACTATAGGCCTATGTACAATTAAAATAAAAACAACGTAAAAAAATCTATAAATTATAGAAAGGATGAAATTTAAAATATAAAGAGTTACATTTATTTTATGTTAAGAATTACTGTTCACAGGCTAAGCTGATAACTTCATCATACATCACAGGGTTTATTTTTGTGGAGCTGAATGGCATGCATATAACATCAGCACACATTAAATGCCACAGGAAGTAGGCAAAAATTATGGTGCTTTAATTATATTAATATTTTTAACATGTTAAAATAAATAACAGAAATGAACCCATTATGAATGCCAGCCATACTAAAACAAATGTTGTCCTCTTTTTCTATTACAGCGTGTAGGTAGATCATGGTTAAGGAAAGACAAACTTGGTGGTTTTTGGATCCGAAGGACAACCTTTTACACATCAATGTGGGTGGGTTGAGGCACACTCTATGTTCAAGCATTCTGAAGAAGTTTCCGGACACGCGTCTTGGCCAGCTCTTGTCCTGTGACTCAGAAGATGACATTCTACAGCTCTGTGATGATTTTGATGTTCAACAGAAAGAGTTTTACTTCGACCGTAACCCTGGCCTTTTCCCTTATGTCCTGCACTTCTACCAGACTGGCAAGCTGCACATTATGGAAGAGCTGTGCATTTTCTCCTTCTCTCAGGAAATAGAGTACTGGGGCATCAGTGATTTTTTTCTGGACAGCTGCTGTAGTTACCGTTACCTTGATCGTAAACTGGAGAGACATCATAAATCGTGGGATGAAGAAAGTGATGTTAGCAGTGTGGATACGTCGGTTGATGAGATTTCTGATCTGAACAAAGATATCGAGCACTTCCATGAAATGCGTTTTGGAAACATTCGAAAGTGTCTGTGGCTAACATTGGAAAATCCAGGTTATTCAATTCCTAGCAAACTTTTCAGCTTGCTTTCCATTTGTGTGGTGTTGATATCAATTGCCACCATGTGTATCAATAGCATTCCAGACTACCAGATATTTGATGAAAATGGTAATCCAACCGAAGACCCAACTATGCATGTTTTAGAAGTGTTCTGCATCTGCTGGTTTACCTTTGAGGTAGTAACACGTATGCTTCTTGCACCAAACCATCGTAAGTTCTTCCTGCTACCACTAAACCTGATTGATATCATCTCAGTGATGCCAATTTACATCACTATCTTTTTTGATCTGCTCATTGGGAGTGAGTCAGAGCTAGACAACTTGGGAAAACTGGTCCAGGTGTTGCGGCTGATGAGAATCTTCAGGGTGCTGAAGTTGGCTAGGCATTCAACAGGGTTAAGGTCACTAGGTGCGACACTACGGGTGAGAATACACTGCTACTGTTCAAGTGCATTTACAAGCTGTATATTGAAGTGGTGTTCAAACCTGGACTTGGAGTGAGACCCAGAGCACTCCACATTTTGTATGTCTAAAAACCCACTACGCTTCCCAATATGCATACTATCCACCCTAAGTATATCCAAGATTAGAATGAATTTGTCCCAGAATACAGTATGTTGAAATGAGAATCCAAAGATACCTGGATGATCTACTATTTCCAGTGGATTTTTGAAGCATGCATCCATGCACAGTCTAACAGCTAATATTTTCCACAAGCCCTCCTGATTTAAAATAACAAACACAAATATCAAAGAACTATAAACATGGCAGATGAGCATTAAATCTATGTACATTCCTTACTTTTATAAAACTTCAATTAGGTTTCATGCTTGAATGCAATAAAAAAAAAAAATGTTGTTGTAAGGCCAGACAAAGACACGGAATATGGTGACCATATGCCCTCTTTTTCCCGGATATGTCCTGGCCAAGATTTCTAAATAACCGTGAGACCTACAAAGAGGAGACACTCTGCATGCTGTCGAATCGCTATCACGGTACATGGTTGTCACACATGATTGATCTGCGCAGCACTGCTTCAAGCTGAACACACATTTTGACTTTGTTTTCTATTGGTTTCATACTTGCTGAAAGTAAAGACTGAAAAGAAGTTTGAACAATAGCATGCAGACATTGTACATAATCGACCAATCATGCCATGCAAGAAAGTGGGATCTACAGAGAACGGTTAACCAATGCAAATTTTAAACATTTTAGGCAATTTAGAAATCCCGGCCAGGACATGTCCAGAAAAAGAGGATGTATATTCACCCTACACAGAATGGGCTGATTAACCATGAAATCAAAATTGACACTTCTTATTTTTTATGGAATATTGCAGAGTTTATTATAAGTGATTTATCTATGCACAAAGTAATCTTTAATCAAAATAACTTCCCCCTGCAACAACATTTCTTCTCTTCTTTGATGACATGTTTACTGGAGCGAGGGCAGGACAATAACCTCACCACTCCACCAACCTGTCACTCACATGAGATCAAAACAATAGCAAATAACAATGATCCAGTTTAATAAATTCAAAACAGCAGGCACAAACAGGCAGTGGTCAAATAACAGGCAAACAGTCCAATGGGCAATCAAGACAAAAATGCCAATCCAATAAACAGGTAGAACATCATAACATAAGGCTGATAATCTGAATCAGGTGTGTTATATAAAGGGAGATGCAGTTCTGTGGGTCCCCAGGATCAGGATTGAAAACCACTGACATATTGATTAGTACTAACTGTAAATGTTTTGATTATGCTTTATTTAACAAAATGAATCCATGAGACCAGCAAATAATAATCCATAAATAGCATATATTTTGATCTCCTTTTATACTTCCAATTATTACAAAAATGGAATACAACAAATACAAAATAATGGAATAAAAAGTTAAGTTCAGTCAACTCCATAGCTTAAGTGTTTAAGTGCTTCTACTTATATTTTCCATGTCAGAAATAATATTTTTGTTTCTTTGTGTAGCACAGCTACAGAGAAGTTGGAGTCTTATTACTGTACCTGGCAGTCGGTGTATCAGTGTTCTCCGGAATGGCTTACACTGCAGAATATGAAGAAGATGTTGGTTTGGACACAATCCCAGCATGCTGGTGGTGGGGGACTGTTAGTATGACAACTGTGGGATATGGAGATATAGTGCCAGTGACAGTGGCAGGAAAGCTGGCAGCATCTGGCTGCATCCTAAGCGGCACATTAGTTGTGGCACTACCCATCACCATCATTTTCAACAAGTTTTCACATTTTTACCGCAAACAAAAAGCTCTTGAGGCTTCAGTACGAAACAGCAACAACAAGAGGCTTATAATAAGACAACAGAGTAATAGTGAAGACAGCGCAATACATGGTCATAACCATTGTTTGGAGGATGAAGAGGATGAAGATGTGAATTATGAGAGAGGAGTTGTCAACTTTTGCTATGAAGACCATCCACTGACTAATAGATTCTGATGTGTCCACTATGCAAGAAAAGGAATATTATACCAATATCAAACATCATATCCTGGCTGAAAATAGAGTAGGGGGACAAATTAAAGGAAAATCTGTCCGATCCAGTGGTTCTGCTATGCTGTGGGGGGCATTTTGCTGCCATAGTTTGGGTCCACTTGCTCCCTTTGAGGGAAGAGTGTTTCTTAACTGGAAGGATGCATTATTTTTTAGACTACAGTTATCCTCAGCATTAAACAACAGAATGACAGTCTAGTGAGTTGGCATGGCTCCCCTGCAGTCACAGCATGAAAATATTATGAAAAATTAATTTTGGGGAAAAACTATATTGAAAATCTTTATATTATCTAACTTTCTTTTAATGCAATACAGTGAACAACAACTGTCAGTGTTTCTTTTTTTGTGTGAATTGGAATGTATAAGCAATAATTCTGAAATCAAGTCACATTAATATTATATTTATATAATGCTTTATTCAATACAAATAGTTTCAAAGCAGCTTCACAGTAATAAACAGGAAAATAACAGTGTCAGTGTTACAAAGTTCATAAATTATGAAAAACTTTAGTTATAAATATAAGTTATAAAGCAGCTCTACAAAAGGTAGTTAGCATAGTGGCATTAATCAACTCAAGTAAGTTTAATGTTGATTCAATTCAGTCACTGTGTCAGTTTTGGAAAGTTATCAGTTATAAAACAACTTCAAAGGAAGCTATACAAAAGAAAATAGTACCATTGTTCAGCTCAATTTTATTCAAGTTTTGCTCTCACAGAATAGCCTCAGTGCACCAACTGAGCAACCAAAACTCCATCAGACAACAGGTAGTGAAGAAAAAACCTTGTGAGAAAACAGGTTCAGTCAGCTCTCCGGTTTTCTTCTGGACTTAAATTAACAAACATTATGTGATCTATCATTCCACGCTGCAACACAGGTCAGACTTTGTGGAACGATATTATTCAAAAGTTTGCATTTAGCTCTTTCCACATGGACTTTGGGATACACCTCAATGGAATTTGGTGAGAAAATGGTGGGCTTGTAGTCTGTAGTCTTTATATGTAATCAGCAAGTATACAATGCTTAATAGGCAGCCAATGCAGTGTTGACAGAACCAGGCTAATATGGTCATACTTCCTGGTCTGGTAAGCACTCTAGCTGCTGCATTTCAGACCAATTGAAGTTTAATAAACCTGTTAAAAAATTAAAAATCCTGCTGTCTTGATGCCGTCCTGTGTTTTTCTGTCAATATGGGGTGCTGTGTGTACATTAATGAGGAAAAAAAAATTAACTTAAATGATTTTAGCAAATGGCTGCAATATAACAAAGAGTGAAAAATTTAAGGGGGTCTGAATACTTTCCGTACCCACTGTATACACTTGGCACAGCCGTCAAAATACAGTGAGCAAAAGATGCAAAATGAAGGCTGCCTTCCAAAGAATTCTTCAAATTGAGATAACTTTCAATAGAAACTGATGGCTTGGTTAGGTATGCAGCATTACTAGCATGAAACCTTTCGATTGAGAAACACCCAAAGTTGTTCTGAGTAATCACTTTTTTCCTATGACAAAACACTTCTATGCATAGAGCATGAGGGGTCATGGAATGGGTTGATGAGTATGAAAATGATATTATCCACATGGCCTTCATAGTCACCAGATCTCAACCTAACTTAGTTTTTGGTATAGACGGTGCAAACCCATGACCTCTGCAATACTAGCATTTCTTGGGAATGGAACCCATGACCTCAGCATTGCGGGTGTGTTAGTGGTTTGAACACTTGCTGTGCATGATGTCCCAAACTACAAGAAAACCTTTGCTTCAGCTGTTCCTGCTCTTCCTCTAAACAGAGGTTTACTATAATAAAACTCTAATATAATAGCAGTCTTGTATTGTATAGTCCTAAGACAACATGGCATAGAAGGTGATGTAAGGTACCTCTAAACAGCAAAAAAAATTTTTTTTTGAGATTAAGGCCATTGTCTCTCTGCCATGAAGAAATATTGATTCATAACAAATCATTCATTTCATTCTCTAAGGTAGAGGAAACCTCAGGGGTGTCTAGTCCTTCTCCTAGAGCACATGTCACTGTCCTGCAGAGAGTAGCTCCAACCAGCTCCAAAACACCCGCCTGGAAGTTTCTAGCAGAGATTGTCTTACTATTCCCAGGTGAAAAAAGTGCACTAAAATACATTTTATTTCAGTACACTTAGTACACTTCCATAATGTACTTAAAGTGCACTTCATGTACTTTATGCTAAAAGTATACTTATTGTTAAATTGTGAATTTGGTTACACATCTAAACACATTCTAAAATTACACCTATTGTGTAGCCACTTCATGCAGATGTTTTCCATCATTAAAAAACTTTACTACTTAAATGTTAGAAATAATACATTTGAATAAAATTACTTTAAATGTAATTCATGCAAATGTAAATGCCCATAGATTAAAATAATAATTACCCTATTACCACATAGATATAACAGCAGCACAGGTATGGTATCTAATTTACAAACAAACAAAAGAGTATCTCTTTCATCAAAAACACATTTTTTTGTGATGTATATTTTCACACACCACACAAGTCCAAACGGGCCTTAAAAGAAAGGTGGTTTTGGTGCTTCTGCTGATATCATGATTATCATTTAAAATAGATGATATACCTCAAACAGATGACGTTTGTTGTTATCTCGCTGCTACAGTAGAATTTACTGTTTGTAGAATGTGCTTTACTGAGCGGGAAAAAAACTGAAAACCAAAGAAAGAACACATTGATATTTTTAGACAATACACATCATTACACAACATTTATTATTAAATAATAATGCAACACATTTGTGACCCTGGACCACAAAACTAAAGTCTTAAGTCGCATGGGTATATTTGTAGCAATAGCCAACATTACATTGTATGGGTCAAAATTATCGATTTTTCTTTTATGCCAAACATCATTAGGATATTAAGTAAAGATCATGTTCCATTAAGATATCTTGTAAATTTCCTATAGTAAATATATCAAAACTTAATTTTTGATTAGTAATATGCATTGCTAAGGACTTCATTTGGGCAAATTTAAAGGTTATTTTCTCAATATTTAGATTTTTTTGCACCCTCATATTCCATATATTCAAATAGTTGTATCTCAGCCAAATATTGTCATATCCTACCAAACCATATGGAAAGCTTAGTTATTCAGCTTTCAGAAGCTGTATCTCAATGAAATCTCACTTTCAAAAGATTGACCCTTATGACACATTTGCTGGTAGTAACACCTGATTGGAAATTTCTAGTGATCCTGAAGACTTTGATTAACTGGTTCAAGTGTGTTTAAATAGGGTTAAGGCTAAACTCTGCTGAAAGGTGGCCATCCATGAACAGAATTGGACATTCCTGCTCTTCCTTCTTATTAGCTCTCCTCTTACCATTCCATCATGAACAATTTTTCCAAAAACAATCTTTCAATGGTTATCATTACTTGTTCTTTCCCTTGCCCTCTTCTCTTTCTGCATTCACCCTCTATTTAACCTGCTACATCATGTTCACCTCCTCTGCTCTTCTCTTCACCTCTTTCTCCTACTGCGCTTCCTCTACCCACTCTACCTCTTTTAAGTCTTAACTCTTTTTACAAGTCTTTTTATAAGTCTACCTTCTTTTTACAGTTTCTTCACAGTCGACCATTGTTTCTTTCTTTGCTCTGAATATTCACAGGTTACTACTGCTACACCATCTATTCTATCTAAACTTTAGTTTGGGGAAATATGTGTGTAGTGCTTAGAGAAAATAATGCATATATTTTATTTATTTATTTAAAAATGTATGAAGGACCAAATATGCAAAAATTAAAAATTAAAATAAATGCATAAATATATGAATAAATAAGCTAATTATTTTTTTGTCATATTTAATTAACTTTTTATTACTTTAATATGTTCAGCAATTAGTATAAATTGACTTAACACTTAATACACTTAAAGGGACATGCAGTAGTTATTTAGCTAGTGTAAGCATTGCTCTTCTTTTTGTATCTTAAGTACCGATACCACAATTACAATGTCAGACCTGTGCTCGTGACCCAGTTTCTCCCTCACGTTGATTGTTCATTGATGTCAGGTGTGTCTCATCTTGTCCCGTGTTATCCTGAGTATTTAGCCCCAGTCTGTGCATTCTGTGTTTGTCGGGTCTACATGTTGGATTACGTGTGTTTACCCCCTGTTCCTGATGTGGATTATCCCCTGTGTTTCAATGATTAAAGACTGTTAATGCCACGTCGCGTCTCCATCGTTCCTTCCAGTAGCGTATCGTGACGTACATTAGATGTTGCACTGCAAAGTTTTATGTAATTTACACTTAATACTAGCAACAGACACCAGAGTAGGGTTGGGTACCGAAACCCGGTACCAATATGGCACCGCCCAGCCAACATGTATATGTGGGCCCCACATGGTTTATGCTGGGTCTACATGGGTACCAAGTGGGCATGGTCCCAAAATGGGCATCTTATCTGGGGCCCACTTGGGTCAGCTAAGTAGGTCCCACATAGGCAAAAACAGATGGGCTCCCTACGTGGGTCCTAGTTGGGTCACAAATGGGAAATGAGTGCATGGGCTCTAAATGGGCAACACAAATGGGGCCCATATGGGTTTAACAAATGGGTTAGACATGGGCAAATACAATTAATCCCATATAGGCTGCCTACACAGGCCCAAGGTAGTACCCACATAGGCAACCTCTATATGGGTTCAGAAAGGGGAAACACATAAGCGGCCCTCTTGGTCAAACCTTATGGGTAAAACATGGGCAAACACAATCAGTCCCATATAGGCTGCCTACACTGGAAAAACAGATGGGCTCCCTACGTGGGTCCTAGTTGGGTCACAAATGGGAAATGAGTGCATGGGCTCTAAATGGGCAACACAAATGGGGCCCATATGGGTTTAACAAATGGGTTAGACATGGGCAAATACAATTAATCCCATATAGGCTGCCTACACAGGCCCAAGGTAGTACC